ACCTTAGATTAGTCCTATGTGGGCGATCATAATCTTTACATTATTCCCAAAGATGTAACTTCTTATTGGCTATTACACTAAAATCCACGTGCTGTTAATGAGATTATTGTTAACAAGTGTTTGAATATTTCAGTAGCAAAAGATTAAAATTGGTTGTGTGACCTCCTAACTTTGAAGGAATCTTTTATCGAAGTATGGAGGCTTACATTGTTGACCTGTCCTGAAGATACTAGATTTTAGGCTATCATGTTTATCCAGTAGCTTCCTGAGTCTCCGCCTTGGAGCAAGTATACAGATTAGGAGGCCTGTCTTCAATCTGACTTGTTCCGGGTCAGTGTCTCAGAAACGATTAATCCCAGAGACAGCCAGGCAGCTACTGTTTTCAGAAAAGGTTTAGCAATGGCAGCTCCCCTACTCCTTCAAATAAGCCTTATCTTTACCTTTATTGTGAGTCATACCTCATCTGTGCCCACCATTAATATTCACCGGTCTGACACGTTAAGGAGTTTTTTGTTTAATATTATTCTTTGACATGAATGTTAGTGTTCTGGGGAGCCCTTGAGTAAGTAAGTTGTTATCCCAACAGAAAGGGTTGTTTTACTGGAATTGCTTTGGGGTTATATTACATGGTCAGTTTAGATGCAAATAGCGATAGTTCTTTCAGCTAAATAACAATTACTATGAAAGTGCTGACATCCATTATATCCACTGTTGGAAAAAAAAAATGATTGCCCTAGGTAACTGGAATAGTTTGAAACTATAGACTTATTATTTGCTTAGGCAGAGTCTGACAACATACCAACTTTAGAGTCCAAGTCAATTTTGCTGCCTTAGCCAAAATTCTGCAAGCCGCCAGAAAACTTGTTTGAAAAATGAAAGCTGAACTCCAGGCAAGCAGCTAAATACATATTTGAGAGTTGCTTAAGCCAACAGAGTATTGTAATTCTGTGCAGCTATTTTGGCACCCCCTGCCTAGCCTCATAGCTAGATTCTTGACTGCCATTGCATCAGAAGCATGTCTTGGTTGAGAACCTGCCACCAGCTGTCTTGGGGGGAAATAATACCAATCAGTTGGGGAAATCATTTGCTGCCTATCATCATTCCCCATAGTGGGCTTGGCCTAGAATATTCAGGTTCATGGTGCGGCCTACAAACATAAGACTTTTCCCCATTCTGCCTTTAAATGGAATGATCAATCAAATGCTCACTACTTGTCTGTAGGTACCTCTGCACTTTAAAAAGAATGGTCAAAGGAAGGTCAATACAGTGCTGGTCATCACCTTAATTCATTCACTCCATATTGCTGCTGTTAGCACTCGCACACTTCACCTGCATTTTTAGTCTAATTTAATTTTTAATATTTAAATTTTAACATTGATATTTTATTTTGTGATGTAAAAGTCTTATATTATTATTGATTCTTCTCTCTACTTGTTCTCCCTCTCCTTCTTGCAGTCGTGTAAGCATTTCGCTGCATATCATACTTGTACGATTATGTATGTGACAAATAAATAAATCTCTATCTATCTATCTATCTATCTATCTATCTATCTATCTATCTATCTATCATACAGCACCTGAGAACCATTGATTTAAGAAGGGCATTTGCATTTTTCCTTTGCATTTGCAAAGTCTGGCCAAAGTCCCAAAGTAAACAAAATATCTATAATAGTGTGGAACAGTCTTGTTTTAGTGCCATAAATCACAATCTGCTGCAGATTTGTAATCTCTTAAAGGGTCACTAAAGGTGTCTCATACAAAGAAACTATAAAGTAAGGAATGGTTAGAACCGTGTCAGTGGTTTTTTCCTTGTTGTCTGCCCCGTTGGGGAGATTTTCCCTAATTTCCAGTCCCAGAAACACAGCAGAAATTGAGAGGAAATCTCTCCAAAATGAGGAAGCATTTCTCCTGTTACTATAACAGGGGTCTCCACTGGAAGCTTCCCCATCTATTCTTGTTCTGGTGACATATGCAAAGTTATGGATTTGCCATAACTTTCTATCTTGGTGACAGTTGCCACCATGTCAAATATGGAGAGCTAATCTCCCCAGCAATAAAAACCAAACAGATGCCAAAACCCTCCTCCACTTGCTCCAAAGCTAAGAAGAAGTTTAGATTTAGGTATACTTTATGTAAATGTGAGCTTTGTAAGTTTAAGTCAACATAAAAAATGAGCCTTTAGGAAAAGATTGTAGGGATACAGCAAAATGCATTTGGCTTTCCTGGCAGTTTGGTCATTGTGAGTGCCTGTTCCCTTATTGTATGAATATATAGGGTTTCCCACCACACTCCTGACCGAGAATTCCCCAACTTGCAATGGGGCGGGTGCTGAAATGACAGCGGATGGCACCGCTGGATCAGATAAGCAGAACAGTAAGTCACCAGCACTCCAATGGTTCTCCAAGCAAAGTTATTTTTATTCCATGTGTAAAGTTACATCACCAAGTGCAGCCACTCATTGATGTAACTTTACACATGGAATAAAAAGAACTTGTCTTGGAGAACCTTTGGAGTGCTGATGCCTTACTGTTCTGCTTATTGTATGAATGGCACAGACTCAGTCATGTGTTGACTGTTGTTCTGGGCATTAACCTCTGCTGTTCTCATGCAGGAAGGTTGTGCAGGTCACAGTTCCTCCTATAAGAATTTGATTCGACAGTGGAGAATATAAAACTGAAGTAAAATTTACACTTCTGACTTTTTCATTAGTAGTACACTGATTAATGTTACTTTTTGCCTGGATTGCAGAAGTGTCCTAGACACAGTGATGAGTAACACAACAAGTGCATTGGGTACAGCCAGGACAAGCTGTAAGGAGCTTGTACATAAATCAGCACTTCACTTTCCCTCACATCTTCTTTTCCATTCTGTACTTCTAGTGAGGTTATTTTAAGAGAATGGATAGTGGTTTTGTACTTTCTTATTTTTTAATCAAGACTGATAAAATAACATTAATAAAGTATATTAATATTTTGTGTTCTCCTTTGAAGCTAGCAGGTGGAGCTTTAAGGTTCTTGTCACGTGTTTTCCTGTGTGAATATTTGGGCCAGTGGATCTTTTTGTATTCTGCTGTGGGGCTGATTTATTCATCATTACACCTCTGTAGAAACCTGAAGTTACGGATATTGCACCAGATGCTGGCTACCTGGCTATCAGGCTGACCTTCTTGTTTTTCAGAACAATTATTCAGATAAGGACTGCTGTGTTATGCTGACTTTCCTGATCTGCATACATGTTCCAGATCAGCGATGCAGATTGTATTTAAAGGGTATATATGGTCAAAAACTAAAAATAAATCTGTATTTCTGTATTGAATTTCCATAGGTTCTATCCCACTCCTAATAAGCATATCCAATCTACACGTTTGTAAACTTATTGAACATGCCCATAGGATGTATCTCCTCAATGCACTGACACAATGTCATTAAGCCCTGTGACTATGTATTTCTTTGTGTCACCACTCACGCAGCCTGCCTTCTGAACTACAACTCAACATCTGAATGTAACATGTAACATTGCTTGCTGAAAGCAATGCCTGATGGGATATGTAGTCTTAGGAAATCCAGATTTCATTACATCCAGCAGCAGGGAAAGAGACACAAAGCACACTGGGAATCCAGGAAGTTGTTGGAAGTGATGGGCAGACAGAAGTCTGCACTCGCTACATATAGGGGATTTTTTCAAGTAAGCTTTGATTGAATTATGAAAAACACCTCTAGTATGTAATCCCTATTACAATGCTGATGTTATAACATGAGAGTATATGCTGCGACTTTACAACTCCTTTAAGTCAATATAACAACTAGGGACATTAGCATCTTCAGAAGGAGGTCATCGATGGCAGCCTACATGTTTCACTCAGGAGTGGGTTATTTTAAACTGTGCATGTAAGAATTTACCCAAGCTGGCAGTATACTGCTGTAATAAAATGTAAGCTATCTTTTGAAAACACATGCTGATGAGGAGAGAATGCACAAGCAGATTCAACCTTAAGTGCATGAAGTCTTATAATCTGCCTGCTTTAACACACATTTTCTCTAGCTGTGAACATTACATTGTATTTTACTCAGCAGGCACAGACTAATGTAACCAGCCCTTGTACCTTGAGTGCTGCTGAATTTGCCAGTGTTACATAACTGAGTACATAACATGTGACCTCACGACAGTAGCATAAAATTATGTACGCTGAAGTCCAAGTGCAATATTATTGTCTTTAGATGTATATAACATATTCCAATGTGTGTTATTTTAAAAAAAAATGTTAGTCCAGAACAAACTAGCTGAACATTGTGTATTTTTATTTCTTTTGTGTTAGCTTTTCCTGTTGCCTGAATAATTTCCTACAAGTGATAAGATTCAGATCTGGCCCGTGAATCTGTATGCAGAACATTTGTATCAAGCACCCTCTGGTGTTTTATCTTCAGAGATAATGGTTCTCTTGAAGATGTATCGGATTAGGGAGAAAGACATCTAATCTGGTTTTTGGATCCCAGCGAGACTACTCCTGTCAATTTGTGCTCGGTGTATTGGAGCTGCCTGCACTGACAGCAGGCTATGTACTCGTCTGCACTGCCCATGTTCCTTCTTTCTGAGATATTGTAAGGCATAATTAATCTCCGGAGTTATTTTCACTTCAGCAGCTCTTCAACTGCCTACCACTGTCTGTCTGTCCCAGATATTCCCATCACTCTGCAGCACAGCTGAAGAAGAGAAATGGATGTGTGAGCCAGTAGGGACAGCATGCGCCTTATACGACTGCCATTAGATCAATTTCTTGCAAAACAAAGTCTGTAACCTTTTTTATTTGATTTCAGATCAATCAGCGGTGCTCTTACTTCTCTCCCTCTGATGGATTGCTATTCCATGTACTCACCACACTTTTAAGTGGTATACAAAAATGTATTGCCTGTCCCTAGCTGCATGACTTTCTAAAGGGATTCACGGCTGCAGTTTATCACCACCCTAGAGGCATCTAAAACATCCCCCTCTCCCTCCACCCTCCTTAGTCTTTATATACTGAGGACTTTCACTGATGTGTTGTGGATATTCAGACAAATATATTCACTGACTGTGATGCTACTTCCAGCTCCCCCCACCCCTTCCCTCATCACCTCTGCTGCTCTTGCAACGAGGACTGAATCTGGCACCGTCTGGGTTTAGAGGCAGAGGGAAGGTGGGTGGGTGAGGATCTGAGAAAGACAGAGAATAATTCCACCGACTGGTCATCAAGAAAAGCTCTCCACGGTGAAATTTGGCTTGTGGGATTACAGACACTGGCTGCAGCACCAGTTAACGCATACGGCTGAACACTGGTTTGCAATCCTTTTATTCATCAGGCTGCTTGGTTTGTTTAATCACATTTCTTCTCTGTCTGCCTGTGAGAACGAGGTGGAGATGGAGCGAGAGGCAGCAGGGATGAATTCTGTTTCCATTGGCCGGTGTCTGTCTTTCTCTCCACCCACAGCAGTTCCACCTCACCTTGGTGTCTCCCCACGCACATCCAGCCCTCTTTATCGCAATGAAGAAATCTACAGCCAGAGTTTCTATGGATTTTATTTATAAACATTTACCCCCAACAGGCGATCGTTGAGTTGACAGCAGGCTTTGTTGGTTGGGAGGGAGGAGAGCACTGAGAGTCTGCTTCTACCACTTCATATTTTATGTAGAGAGGTTTAAAAAAAAATTGAAAAAAATCTGGAGGTGACAAGGCTGTACCTCCCAAGTGGAAAAATGGATCTGAAGGAGAGCCCAAGTGAGGATAGTCTGGGAAGCCTACATCCCTCTAGCATTCAGATCTTTGCCAACACATCCACACTCCATGGGATACGGCATATATTTGTGTACGGCCCACTAACGCTCCGGCGCTTCCTGTGGACGGTGGCCTTTGTGTGCTCCCTGGGCCTTCTCCTTCTGGAGAGTTCAGAGCGAGTGGCCTTTTACTTCTCCTACCAGCATGTCACCAAAGTGGACCAAGTGGTTGCTGAGAGCCTGGTCTTTCCTGCCGTTACCATTTGTAACCTTAACTCATTCCGCTTTTCCAAAATCACTACCAATGATTTATACCATGCAGGGGAACTGCTGGAGCTCCTTGATGTTAATGGTCACATCTTAGAGCCTCACTTGGCAGACACAGAGGTATTGGCTATTCTTGAAGAAAAGACCAAATTCAAGCAGTTCAAACCCAAAACCTTCTGTATGGGGGAGTTCATGGAGCGAACAGGTCATGACCTTAAAGACATGATGCTTTATTGCAAGTTTAGAGGCCATGAGTGCAGCCACAGAGACTTCCAAACTGTGAGTACTGTATAGCTTTGCTTTTTTGACACGGTGATTGTGGTTCGCAAATAACATGTGATGGACCTATAGACCCACAGGTGCTATTGGGTCTATGCATGAGTTGTATAAAAAGGCGGTTTTAATACTTGTGTATTATATCTATGACATTGTTTAGAAGTATATGCAAAGCTCATTACGATTTTAATTGAATTAAGTTAAGTAGGCTGGGAATTGTTCCGTTTATATATGATATCTATGTTTTGGGTTTTAAAAGTTACTCCAAAGTCTTCCTACTAGCTGGCAGTTCACTGTAGCTTCAGTTGTTACCCTTTGATATATTGATGCAACACTTGACAGTTTGCAAACTATGCATGGTTCCTTTTTATTGTAAGGTAAACTATTTGAAGTGGCATGTGGACATGGGGCCTGGAAAATCCGTGTTTGGCTTAACAGCACAGGAAGTCGTGATATGCATTAGGGGAAACTTGTTAAAACGGGAGCAGACAGAATCTGGAGTAGCTGTGCATAGTAACCAATCAGCTTCTTCAGCTTGTTCAGTTAAGCTTTGAAAATTAAAGCATAAAGCTGATTGGTTGCCATGTACAGCTTCTGCAGATTTTGTCTGCTCCAGTCTTAGTAAATTCCCCTCCCTGTGTTTTGTCTGAAGCGTAATCACAGAACTAGCGGGTTTGATAAAAATAGTTCTTTGCCTCATCTGGAAAATCCCTGAGCATAGCTGTGTATCTGACCAGGCCAAGGTCAACAGGTATCAAGCTTGATACTAATTCTTGATTGTAGCAGTAACCAGTTTTGATCCTCCGTGATTTTATTGTATTGGCTTAGTGGAATTCACTGGATCTTTTTTTTTTTTTTTCCTGCCGCAACTTTATCAGCCATTTGTTGTACTATCTGCTCACTAATACCACATTAGAAAGAGAGCTTTGGGAGTATCTGAATACATGAATATCTGGACACTCCTGTGATTTCTAGGATTCAAGACTTTTAGGCACATCTCACTGTTTACACCTTTGTGGGTGGTCACCTGATATCTTTTTCGGGGTTGCATGTTAAAATCTTTGAAGCTATAGCTTTAAATTCTGCCCTTAAGAAAACTGGTGTATTGTGTGCAGTGAATATTCAGTGAGAAGTGGCACATGAACTATCGAACATCTTTGACAACAATAAAGTGCCTTTGGCAGCATTTTTGGCTAGAGGTAAAATAGCTCCTGATAGCAGTAAAACATTATTTTTTTTTTAAAAGGGTGTTTTTAAAGAACTAGAAAATCTCCTGAGCAGATAATAAGCTTAACAGATACTCATAGGCAAAAGATTGTCTTTCTATTTGTTTAGCCTGTTATAGCCACTTTGAGAAGGATTGCTAATGCCTCCCTACTCCTTCATTACCAGCGCAGGTTTTGAAGGTGGCATTGTACTATAAAGCAATCTACAGTAATTGTCTAGAAACGTCCTAGTTATAGGTTACACTTGATATTATAATTACAGTTTATTTAAGGAAATCTCTTGCAACTTGAAGGCAGCTTTGACTACAGCTCATACCACTATGCTAAGAGTCCTTTCTGTATCAGCTGCAGAAGCACACGCTGTGTGGTAGCAACATACAGAGTTAACATGTCACTGAAAGCCAGGGCTGCAAGACGCTGCTAGAAAGCCTTTATTCTTTCTGAAATATATTTTCATTTTCTACTAATAAGCTTTGTTTTTTTCCCCCTGATCAGTTTTATCAATGGCCATGTAGGGAGCAATGTGGGTTGAGTAAAAAATGTATCCAATAAAAAAGCTACATCTGAGTGAGTTTTCCCTTCTTGAATTGCCTATGAAGCTCAATCCAGTGAACGTTACCGGCTGTTTTTATGGGTTGCCCTGTCTATTGACTACATTATGCAGTTCATTGGCTTTCAGAATGTTCTCTCTGGCAGGGCAGAGCATAGAGAGTGTTTTTTTCCGAGGCTGGAATGCTGATATATTGTGGTAAAACACCTGAACGATCAGAATGTCCGCTTGCAGTTAAGTAAATTGTCGTCAAGCTGAGCAAATCCACTCAAACGTTAAAACTGGTAAACTGCTAATGCTATTTAGAAGGCACTGTGACCGTTTTGTAACCAGATATTCAGACAGTATTTCTTGGGGAGACCGCTGGCTCTCATCACATGATTCCTATCTGGGCATGCTCCATTGTATGCTTCACTGTGTGAGGTTTTTGTGGGATCAGCTGGTAGAAAGTAGCCCAGAACCATGGGACATTCTGGCCTGTCTTTGTTTTTTTTTGCTCAGTTTCAGGGCCATTCTGAAAGTAAAGATACCATCAACTACACAGATTTAACTAGCAGAAAAGCCAGCTGCTGTGGGTGAGTTCCAAGTTGAACACTAGAGACACTCAACAGGTGTGCAATAAAGCGGACCTTTACCCAAATCTTTAAAATAACAAAAAAACACACATTTAGAAATGTTTAGTAATGACAATCTACAAACACATACTTCTAGATAATTGCTGGCTTTGTATTCTTTGCATACCTTATTTCTCTTTTCTTTCCCAGTCTACTGACAGTGGACATGTTTACTAAGGGCAGGTTGCTAGCTCTCCCTTTACTTCCCGGAACTCTGGCACATGTGACTAATACATGTGACCATGCTCATCTCCTCAGAGGAGGAAAATGCCTTTCCCAGAGATCTCATGAGATTACAGATGAGATTTCCCAGCAATGCTCTGCTGATGTAACCTTCCCAGGATGCAATGCTTTGGTACATTACATAATTTGTGTCAAAGTGGACCAGGAAGTAGAGGAACTCTATTTGTAAGGAAATTAAAAACAAGTTTGTTTAGCTAATGCATGTAATATGATTATAAATCCGCATGCAGAGCTGCATGCTGATGAGATTTTTAGAGAAAAGGGGTATACGTACGCTTTAAGTCAATTTAATTTCATAATGTTTATTCTTGACTGGAGTGCACCTTTAAGGTGTATGTAAAGGCAAAACGTTTTGATTTTTAGTTTTGTTATGGATTTGGGAACAGTTAGACCTGCTGCCAAGTTTATGTTGCTGTCTGTGTGGTCCTCTATTTGCTCTCATGACCATTGTCACCAGAACAGATGGTGAATCCAAATCCAAATCTAATTATCAACTTTTGTCTAGGGGATAGGGTCAGCAACAAGTTGCATCTCCCATATAGGAAAGTGACTTTTGCTTGCAATGCAAACAGACATACCTTTTGTTATTTTATTAGAGTAGGGGAACACTGGGCCTCATAGTAGCTGTTTATTGATGTCTGTATGCCTGCTGTAGGTTTCCCTCACTTTCTGTCTGTGTCAGTGAAGGCTCATTCACATCAGTTGGCATGTGTTATGGTGTGCATTACAAGTGTGCTGGTGTGGTTTGTGCACTGTGATGCGTTTATGTAAACTAAAGAAAAAAAAACACTTATATGCAAAACAGTGTGTTGTGACATGCTGATGTCTGTTGCATTGCATAAAAATGCAGACATTTTTCTGCATCTGGTGTCCGGTATGAACGAACTCTAAGTGAGAGCAATTCACATAAGGGGGGATATGATCTCCATGTACAAAATGTTCAATGGTGGTAGCAACATTAGCGATAAACTGTTTAAAATTAACTCCATTACAAAAACTAGAGGCCACCACCTAAAATTGGTGGAAAAAAAATTCCAGCACAAGGGGCGAAGGGGGTTCTTCACAGTAAGATCAGTTAGGGTCTGGAACTCACTGCCACAGACAGTGATTTCAGGAAATAATGTGGAATTGTTCAAGAAACTTTTGGACGATTTCTTAAGGGACCGTAATATACAGGGGTACAGGTACTCCTAGAATGAGATCCTAATAGGTTGGACTTGATGGACTAATGTCTTTATTCAACCTCAAATACTATGTAACTATGTAACATTAACAGAGCCCCAGATAGCAGTATAAACCTGACAGGTGTTTTAATCCTTCATCACTCAATCCAGAACTGTAAACAACAAAGTTTTGGGTGGACATACACTTTACAGGAAATATATGGTGATTTTGTCCAGATTTGTCTTATGTTCAAGATTTTTTAAAAGTCAGGTAAATATAAAATATGCATTATCCAAAATGAAGTCTGTTTAACCCCTGCACTGTATGGTTCTTACAGAGTTTTTATTTAGTTACCTAGAGGGACCGCCTGAAATGATTAGCTACTGTGCTCTCGGTATGCTCTGCAAAACCAATGTCTTGGGTGCTCCCCATAATAAATATTAAAATAAAGAATTTATATAAATAGTAATAACAATAAACAATTAAATAAAACGTACCCCAAACCAATATAGTATCCATTTAACAGAATATTCTGCACAACATTAGAGCCATCTCTTGGTTTTTCTATAAACATTTATTTAGTGCATTGTCACCGAAATGTCCATTATAGTGATATTGGCCCAGTGGAACAGACTCAAAAAAACATTACATCAAATTGCCTCAGAATATGCCTCAGTCCTATAAAATTTAGCTCAGATGTTGACCAAAAAATACATTTAAAAAAAAAGTGTAGTCTTTCTGTTACACCACATTAAAGTGCTCTAGAGTGATCCATCGGCCGTCTTACCACTCCAGAAAGAGAACCTGACATTACTGGGCTTACACTGGAACCTGAATATTTAACCCTGAATGATAATGACTTTGTGTAAGATGTTTATATTCCATCTTATCCAGCTTATTTTACCTGATCCTGAATAATGTAGGTGTCTGTCAACAGAGTCAGAGGTCACGCGAAAACTAATATTTGTTTCCTGTCCCCTGCCTGACTAGAAATACTGCACATGTAGCAGATAGGAAACAGTTTGTGGGGTCAGACAGTTGACAGGCTAACCACTGTCAGGCTTCAGGTGAACTCTGACCCACTGATTGCCTTAGTGACAGTAGTGCTCATATTTTCATTTGGACAGGTGTCGCAAAGCATCCAATTACATGTAGATGCTCATTCTCTGTTATTATCACATGTAGATTGATTCTACACTGTATGCT